CCCTCAAAAGGCTGCTGGACGCTGGTGAACGCTAGTGGTCGCTAAGTTGATATCTATACTTTCCCGGTCGCTGACGCTGCAGGACCCTCGGAACACTGGTGGCGCTGGTGGAAGCTGATGCAAACTATGAGCACATCCTTACTCTTCACAAAATCTGCAGACTTGGCAACGAGAAAACGTTGACCAGTTGTGAAAGGGGAACAGCCGTTATCGCCTGTAAATGGTGCTTTGGACGCCACGCGCTGTGCGGAGTCACCGATTGCCGAGCGAGGCAGAACGGGGGACGGGCAAGACAATCGTAATTTCTCTCCTCGCGTCATCGCGCACGGCATATCGTGCGGCAAATCCGCGATGTGCATCAGCTTGACGAATGAAACAGCGAAACGCGTAGGAATTCAAGCGGAGACTCGCCCTTTAACACTCATACTCAAAATACCAGGCAGAACAACCCGTCTGTCGGGAGCGGCGTCGCACGCCACACCCATCAGTGTGGCTTATAACGATTGTCTTGTCACACATCCCAGCGGAACACGCGGTGCGTGGTCTTCCATTTTACCCTTTCTTGGCAGAACTCTTCAGTTGGTAGTCTTTCAAGCAAGTATAGCTTAGGTTGAGGAGCCACAGTGAAGCTCGAAGCCCTAACAATTTGAAAAACCATGTCAGATTCGGCAATGAGGAATACTGATCGTACCTAACACTACTAGAATTCTTTCCAACTGGGAAAGTCTGAAAGAAACTACCTTCGGTTTCAATGCTTGTTTGCTCTGGGCTTGCCGTACTTGATAGTATATAGGAGGTAACAGACTGTGAAAACGACATTGCTTAAGAAATCAAACTGGCACAACCTATCAGAAATAAATTCGAAAATTATTAAAAAGGAGTGATAAGCACAAGTAGCAGATCGATAATCGGCTCAAAAATTCAAAAATGAACCGTGGAGAGTTCTTTTCAATTGTGGGGTAGCTAACTTACTATATAAGGTGAGCAGTCCAATCGCAACCCTGAACCCGATTAACCCCTAAGCTGCTCTGAGGCACGGTTCACTCCGATTGCTTGCATGCAGTCAAGCGTGCCATTTCGCCCAACCTTTTGGGCGTCCCTCAAGTTGAAGGCGGTAAAAAAGAGTGCGCTAGTAAAGATTTTTGTGGCTTTCTGTCTCACGCTTACCCAATCAGCATGGACTCTGCCTTCAAAGGCACACTGCGACGGCTGAAATTCTCTTCCTTTATAACGAGCGCAGGTCTATGGGGTAGGCCACTGGCCTTTCAAAAGTGTGCGGTAAGTGCGTTGAGGGCTCACGATGGAG